GGCATGGACGTTGCGGATATGCTGTACAAGGGCTACGGGGAGGGGGCCCCGCAGGGCAACGGGCCAAACCAGGGCAAGATCCAGAGCCAGGGTAACGCCTACCTCAAGGGGTCTTTTCCGAAGCTGAGCTACATCAAGTCCGCGACTTCCGTACCGCGCCCAGCTGAGGGGGACTACTAGATACTGTTGTTTGACTGCTTTCGCATAGTTTGCGCGGGGTTTTGAGGTTGTAGTTCGCGAGGAGATGTGTGCGTGTGCCGTGTCCGAGGGGCGGTTGTTGCAGCTCACACGCCGGACGTGGGTTGCGCTTTTGTTCGAGACACTGGTTGGGCTGATGGTGAGGTTTTTAGATACACCTGTGCCAGCGATGTGTTTCGGGGGTGGGTGTGATCGCCACTGCAAAGGGTGAGTGTCCTACAGGCGGCAACTTTTTTTTAGGTGTGGTTCGTGTAGTGGTTCCCCAAGACCAAGAAAAAGGCGCGCACAGAAAGGTCGCAAGCCTTTAAGCTGTGGTTGCATGCTATTGTCGTGCACCCTGCTGTGGACACTTGATGTGCACTCCATGGATGAGGACTAGAAGGCAAGGCAGGCGAAAATGAAGGTGCGGACACGGGCCCAACTGGCGCCAAGACCTGGCTTGGCTGCACGCTCACCTCGCGCGCTCCGCCCCATAATCTATGTTTGTCGGTGGCAAGCCCTACGCCATGCGGTCATTCGCGTCAGTGACAGTCGGTTGGGTGTTGGCGTACACACGGATGTCTGTGCACTCGCCGGCGAATCATTCTTGTTCCATTCTTTGTCCAGCCGAGCGACGGGGTAGAACTCTTCTACCGTAGACTGGGCCGTGTGTGTGTATCATTGCCCGCGCAACAGCAGTAGTGTCTGCGTGGATGGGTGTGTGGCGGAGAGAGGTGGTTCCCGCCTACCCAACGTGCCCTACCGACGGCCTTTTTTGCGAGTGCCGTCCGCGCCGTGAACTAACTGGTGGTGGTGTGGCTCTTTGATCGAATGTTCTTGGTTTTGGCAAGCTTGGAGTCAGCCCTAGCCATGGTAGGTCGTTGGCAACGCTCTTTATTGTGGTTCCCGCGGGCGGCCGTTGTAGGGGCCTTTGGAAAGACCCCCAGCCCTGTGCAGCATTCAGTCGAGTACGAAACCTTGCTTTAGGCAGGCGGATAGATACAGAGATCTAGGCAGGCGGATGCCTGCTGCTGAAATATTACCGTTCGAGTCCCGACTACTTGAAATGTACACTCAACTCAAGATGTACGTCAAGATCCATATAAAGCGCTCAAACGAAACCACAAGCCAACAACCAATGGGGCGGGAGGGGGGCAGGAGACGGACGAGACGGCGAGGGAAGAAAGCAAACGAGAAGAGACGGACCGAGTGGCACGACACGTGCCGGATTGAATTTCTTTTAGCCAATTCCCCCCCCCCAACGCTGCACCATTCCATTGCACCAACCCCCCAGTAGTAGTGATTTCGTACCATTACAATGTATCGCTGGTTGGTGGCCATGTTTGCGTGTTTGGTTGTTCGTTAGTGGTCTCTCCACCGTGTGCCTTGTTCTGCCTCATACTTCTTGTTATTTTCGGCCTGGTCCCTCTTTGTCCTCGCCCTTTTTCATTTATTTTCTCTTCTCCTTACTACACGGTTTCCATTTTTCTCTTTTCTCTTTTTTTTTCTCTTTTCTCTTTTTTTCTCTCTTTTTTTCTCTCTTTTTCTGTGCCAGATGGCCTTGTCTCTGTTTGCGTTGTGAAGTACCAAGATTGAACCAAGGGGGTGTACCTCTTTCTCTCCGGCCCATGATAGATAGATAGTGACTGCTAGTATAGTCTCAGTTGATACCTCGCATAGCGCGAAGAGGGAGTGGAGGATTCCAGAATATCTGTCGTTGATTTCTATTGACTTGCGGACCCCTCGGGGCCAGTTGATTTGAGTGTACCTTTTTAGGGTAAGTTAACCTGTGACCACGGGAATCGACCGCGTCGAGTGTTGGATCAGTACGGACATACGAAGGTACTGGGTAGAGAGAGATCGGAACGGTTTTTAATGTGAAGACAACAACAACAACAACAACAACAACAATACAATATGCGCGGTATCCCCTGCCGTGCCGTGATCTACTCCCGGCCAGTGGTGAGATAGGCCCGGTGCAACGCATAAACGATATTTTCGCCGAGACTGCTGCAACTCTTAGGCTTTACTCTTGCCCCGAGGCTTGTTGTTGTCGCGCTGCCAAAAGAAGATCATGATATTGATATCCGAGGCTACTCTGACGTGATACATGCAGGTATGTATGTATTCCACGTGCGGTACAAGCAAGCGGAGCCCCCCGGCCTCAGTCGACAGGCAGACGTATGTACCGGTATGTATGCCACGTGCGGTACAAGCAGGCGGACTCCACACACGTGTTGCTGGGGGCCCCGTGGTGCGTTTTTTTTAGACAAACTAGGCCGACCAGGACACCTGACGACGCCAAGAACGGCCCCTTTTTCCCATAGGATTCAGCGAAACTCTACAACAGCTCCTGCTGTAGTGCTGATCCCAAATTCTAGTATCGATGTTCAGTGAGTTGACTTACCAAGCTGTACACCCACCAAGTTCTGAGGGATCCGGCAAATTCTACGGGTGGTCAACTTGTGCGTGAAGTTGACGGTAGGGGGTGGTATATTCCGACATATATCGGGCGGGCCGCTCCATTTGAACACCGGCGACTCGAGATATCGACATCCACGGGTCCACTCACTGCGCATGCTGCAGCCTGGCACCTAGATCTTCGGCACTGCGGGCGAGGGAAGTGTTGCACCGGGCTTTGAACGTGAGTTATTTCCAAAGCATGGCTGTCAACGCCCACGAGGATGTGTTTTGCTCGATCAAGTGAGGAGCGCACCAATGTACTTAGTCTACCTGGATACGCGGGCTGTACAGCGGTACGCTGCTGCGTTGCCGCTCTTACGGAGGAGGGCGGCCGTCTAGTAGAGGATACGCTTGAGTCTATGGGTGACGACCCCCGAGATATAGGAATGGCTGCTAGCGATGCAAATTGCGCAGCACATACGACCGGTTCGGTGTATGACACAGAAATGTTCGGATTTTTGTTTGAAACATGTCGGTTCATATGCAAACGTGTACAGCAGTAGTCTTTACACGGCCTGTGGGACCAGCTCTTGCTTACTGCCTGCTGTGGCCGATTCTTGCATCGGTGGCTCAACGAATGTGCAGCAGTTGTAACTTTGCATTGCACAGGTTTAAGTACCGTGTGTGGTGCATACGCCGCAATGTTTCGTGTGCGCACCGCCGTTTTTGGCATGCTGCACCCCTTTCTGGACCCGCACGCAATGCCAACATTGTACGAAATTGGCATGCTGCTGTCGGTGTACTATGTACCAGGATGGGTCTCAGCCGGAAAAAACGCGTGGACGTCAAAGTGAACTCGGGAATGTCGTGGAAGAATCACAACGCACTCGCGGATGACCAAGGGAACTTCCGTTTCTTGGAGCGCGTGAGGGAAAGTATCGATGTTTTGCTCTCTGAGATAGCATGGAAGACGGTGTGGCACTCGGTGCATGCTCGGAGATGATCGAGCACGATAGGAGATTCAAGCGCGTGTTGGACAGCGAGCATACGGACGTCACCCTACCGGTAAGAGCACCAGACGTACGCGCGGAATTCGGCATACAACCGTAGTCGTCGGTGCCGCCCCGCCCCCCTCCTTGATGCCGTAGCACCCCCCCCGAAAAAATACAGTAGGGTGAATTTTGCGATTCGGTTGTATGTCACTACCCGTCAGAGTTGACGTGCCCATATTATATCCGTATCTTACCGTATTTGGGACTGAACCCGTGGTCGGCGTTTGGCAAGACGAGTGCATCACGGTGTCATCGGGAGGGCTCTCCAAGTGCTATCATTGTTTCTTTTCCTCCTCAAGCTTCTCTCTTTTTTTTTTCCTTGCTGGAACAGTTGGAATGATCCTCTTGTCTGTGCACACCCCCGGGGTGTATGACCCCCCCGGGTGTATATGGAAAACTCCTACCCCATTTTTCCTATTTACCCCCGAGATGGCACAATGGCAATTCCAGAGGCGAAGTCCATCCCCTTCCAGAGGGGGAACGGCCCCAATGACCACGGTACTTCATGTCTTGGTCTAAGCGCGCAATGTTTCCGAGCATGACTAGCCAAAGTAGTCACTGCGAAGCACAAGGTGGGTGTACTTGCGCGAAAAAACTGGTCGCGTTGAATGCCTTTCCAACACCCTGTGTATTGAGTGAGCAATTTGTGTGCAACCATGAGTCGCCCACGTCCGATAGGCACACCATGGGAAAATACGATGCAAACAGAAACCCAACCGCCTCCGGTCGTTTTGTTCAGGGATACGAAGGCTTGTTGAGGCGGCCCATATGCGTGGATGCAACAGCTCAAGCCCTGCTCAACGGGGCGAACAGCGCGGACGGTGGGGGCAGAGGGTTACCCTAAAAACCCGTGGCAACAATGCTTGCTATTTCAACGTCATTGCGTTGGGGGGTTTGGTGCCAAGTGCAAACCCCTGGCGAAACGCTGGGGCTTTCTCTGTCGGTGCGTGTAGTCGTCATCTGGGCGGCCATAGTACATTTACAGAAATTCATCAGCGGTCCCGAGTACGGTGGCTTTACTGTACGCCTGCAAGTATAATCCGCGAAAGAAGTCGCGGGCGCTTGGAGGCTCGGGTGTAGCACTCCCGAGGTCTTGGCAGAGAGAGCAGCCCGACTTCTGTACCTGCTTGCCGTGCGAGAAGTCGCTGCCGGTGATTGCATCATACATGCTCAACGGTACTGACTTTACTCCTACGCTTTTTGGCTTGACTTCTTTTTTCATGTTCCAGTCATGCTTCGAGTTAGCGAAGAATCCCGAAAACCACATTTTGTCAAGGCCCTCGGCAGCGAAACAATAGAGGATGGGGTGGTCACCGGTTTACATTTGGAGAGGCAAGAATTGGTTAAGTTTGTTGCGCTTGCGTACTTCGTCAAGAACAACAGTTTGTTTGCTAACACGTCACCGGGGCATCAAGTCACGGGAGAAAAACGGGGAGGGAAGGTTGATGATACGAGGCGGTGAGTCCAAGCGATTCAGGAGCGAACTGATGAAAATTGGTACGGTGCGGGGAAGTTCAGCAAAGCCGCCCCGAACTACGATGCCACCGAGCTTTGCGTTCTCCGGATGTCGTGGTTGGTAAAATACAGGCTTTTCGTTGTGCCGAGTGGTTCTCCAGGTTCGGACGTCTCCGCCAGGTACCCTTCGGGATGGGGTACATCGAGAACACGGAGGTTGAAGGTGGTTGTATGATGTTGATGCGCAGGTTCCCCAAGGTGACAATTTGTCCGGGTGGATTTGAACGGTGTGAGGTGCATGTGTTCAAGGAAGAAAGGGGGTAAATGCACAAGCTGCGTGTGCACCACTAAAGATTTTGGCCAGGGCTCAGAGTTGTGCAACTGCAAGCTTACATACCGCGAGGAAGAGACGGAAGAAAGTGAGATGCAGGAAGATCGGTCAGCTGAGGGAGGACTAGTGGACATGGAGATAGTGACAGCGACAGCGACGAGGAACAGCTGCTGGGTATGTTTGGTTCTTCCACCAGTCGGGTTTGGGTGGAGGCGTGGTTTCAGGTAGTTTTATGGAGGATGACGTTGAAGAGTACGAGCAACTAGATGGAACGCGTTGCGGTATCATGTAGGACAACAGTTGAATCTCGTGAGCGATGCGACCAATAAAAGGTCCACTTGAGATATCGATGTATTGTTCGTGTGCCGGTGAGCGAAACGTTTGTGGGAGCTTGCATGAGCACACGTTCAAAAGTACGGCATGGATGGTGGCCCACGTGCTGGCAGGGGCCTTCACTTCAAGAATTATGTAAATCGACCTCATTTGTTTTTGCGCAATGAACACGCTCAAGAGCAATCCCGGATTCATGCCGCCACAACAACACACACACAAAAAACTAAACGCGCCTTAGCACAATCAAAACAAAAACATGACACCAGAACTTATTGCGTGCACCGATACTGCCACACCCATACATTTGCTGGTATGCTTAGAGCACGCCCCGAAAACATGCCCAACTTCGATTGGTGCTCAATCATGTCGCTCTCCGACTACCCCCCATCCCCGAAATAAATATCTTACGACACCTGCATATCTACTCCCACAACCAATAATTTTTGGGAAACGTTTGGCGGGGACGTTACACCTTGTACATGTCCCAACCCAACCAACTTATTTCGAAAGCCAAACTTGCACGTCCGACCATACTGTGCTCGAAATTGCAGCCGTGCTATTCAGGACAGAAAACAAGCCTCGTCCTGTTGCGGCAGCTCATTTCCTGAGGATACCACACACCCCAAAATTCGCCAGTCTTCGCATTGTTCGCACGCGTGTATTTGGCTCTGCGTAGAAACACACACACAGACGGGGGGTTCGTTTGCAGCCAACCACCCCGGTCGGCGCAAGGTTCCAGGAAAAAAATGGGCATTTTGAACGCCACGCCTTTTGTCGCCAACGACATGGCGGCCTTGACAAAAGTCAGAGCCCTGCTGTACGGAGGGCTTGTCACCACCCACTCAGGCCTTTTCCCAGAGTAAGCTGCGAGAAAGTCTTCCGGGAATAACTCCAAGCTTGCGTTAAGGTTGGTATCCGCTGGGCGCCTGTTATCGAGAACAAGAGCAAAAAAAAAAATCAGCGATCGCGCACATGATACGGAAAATAAAACCATGTGACAGAATGTTGCCGTTTCGCCAAACGTGTGAGACTCTCCCTATTCAACAAAGACACCCACTGGGTTTACAATAGCAACGGTTATGTTCGAGAAGGATGCCCCCCATACGTGCTACAAGGACTGTGGCCCGTGCCTGTCAAAATTTCACACGACCTTGTGCGGTTGAGGCCATGCGGTACGGAATCTGTCTGTCAACCGTAGATTTTAGCTTTGCACATCGGACCACGTGGGACATATGGCAACAGCTATGACTAAAAACTAACCCATGAAACGTCTAGTCCCAACGGTTATTAACGTCGGGGGTTAAGAACAACCCGGAGCGAACTCACTTAAAAGAGCGGGGCGAAATTTTTGTATCCATGAAAAACGCGTGGCATTCGCGTTTGTATTACTCGGTACCTGCGGCACAACGTGATGTTCACGTGCCACGTCGGGCCTGAACAGGACCTACCATCAGGACAAGTATGATTTTCACATTTGAATTGCCGCCGGGAGGTCCTTTGTCGGCTGCCCCCTGTGTTTTCTGAACATCATTGTGCAAGGAATTTCTCCTGCTGCTGGGTACTTTCAAGCAAAACTCACACACAAGTACAACGCCCTTACCCCGAGCTCACGTCGTTCGTGAGAATCTCGCACGTGGATCGAAGACGGGTCGCGACGGCGTCCGTGGGCCCACCGCACATGTCCAAAACGCATCCCGTGATATCCACAGAACCCAGCAAAGCATCCACCGCCTCAGGCGAAGTGCAGTACCTATCAAGCCATCGACACCTCAAGTGCGTTTGTGGTTCAGGAGCAGTCCTCTAACCCTTGGCATGGCGAGGCGTCCGAGCTGCCTTGCGCGCTCGCCGGTCTTTACTCCGGTCCTTGCTAGCCCTTTGCTCGTGCTTTTTGTACAGCTGCAGCAAGCAAGCAGGACGTTTACACAGTATGAGGGCGCTGACGCCTGAATTCCCCTCGTCCAAGGCCGGAAACTGGTTTACGATGCCGACCTCCTCTACGAAAGCCCGGACTTAGATGCTGGTCCTTGGCCGCATGTGTCGGAAGGCAGAAGCTTCTTCTTCGCGGAGGCATGCGGTACAATGGGTCCCAGTTGCCGACATAGGAATACAACCTGTTCAGAATCGGTAAACACAAAACCGAGAGTGGTTAGACAAACGAATGAGCATTTGAAGAGTTGTAAAGACTGCAGCTCATCACTTCATAGCTTGTGCGGCCGCAGCGGCAGCACAGACTCACGACCGGCCGTAGCAGGTGCGTCGGTTGAGGAAGTTCCGCCGCGTTTTGAGGCACCGGCGCGCGAAGGTCTGTTTCGGCTTTCACAAAGCTGATCCGCAATTCTAGAAACGATACATTTGGTCTATGCTTATCAAACACTCCAGTCTCCGAGCGCTGTTCCATTTGGTCAACTTTACGGGGGGTCAACCTGTCGCCAAAGTTCGCCTCCCAGAGCGGCGGAACAACGGTGCGTAAAACAGGCCGCCAGACGACTTCAGGTCTACGACTCGGTTTTCTCCCACCCAAGCAAACCCATATCATACAAAATGACTCTCACATGTACTATGTGACCTTCTTGAACATGTTGCCCAGTTTCGTCTCCATCCTCCAGCTGAGCATCGAGTACTGGCGTGCTGAAAAAGCAGTGTCGACGAGGCAACCCCCATGCACGCAGAGGGGGCTCCGCAGAAGTTTTATTTTGCGCATGGTACCTGATCTCTGTTCAGGCCTATATTTTTTCGTTTTTCCTATGGGAGCAACACATGTGTCCACCCAGCCGGCAGCAAGAACCAGCACAGCAGAGTGGGCGGTACGGCCTCAACTATGGAAGCACCAGTGGTACTACAACGCGCAGCGTGTCTGGCGTTTGCCTGTGCTTCGTTGTGGCTGCCTGCGTGCTTGGAGGTGGCGGCAGAGACAGCAGCGGGTGGTGCCGCTCGAACCTTGATCGACGGGACCGATTCAAATATTTACCACCTCGACCTGCTCGTACAGCAACCCTACGATGCGTCCACAACAACGGCGCAGCCGCCCTGGTTCGATGGGTTCGGCGGGCGGGACGGGGTAGCAGCGGTCACGGTCGGCCACCCGATACAGCGGATTCTGCTTCACTTGAGAGCGGAAGGGGTCGGGCTGGAGGAAGGCATGTCTTGGCCCGAGCGAGGAGGTGTGTGTGTAAAGCGGGGTAGCATTTTCGCTCGTTGGCCCGCACACATCCATCTCCGCTGCTGTGGTTCTCGCACAGCTTGAGACGGCTTGCATGACCACCGAACACGACATGACAGAGAAGAGAGCCGATGTGGCACCAGGTGTGGAGAACGGATGAGCGCACGTTTCTGCCATTCGTCTTCTGTCTTACAACAGCAGCATGCACCGCGGATACAGAGTTCCGTTGCTTTTTTTTAAGTCCAGGCTGGCGATCCTCTCTCTTTTCTCTCTCCACCTCCCTCCCTCCCTCTCTCCCTCTCTCTCGCTCGCTCTCGCGCTCCGTCGCTCTCCCTCGCTGACTGACTGTCTGTCTATCTGTCTGTCCATTTTTCTCTCTCTCTCTGATACATTGACAAACGCATCAACTCCATCATTCATCTATCGGTTCAGCTGCTCGGCTCATCTGTAACAGACACACTTTTCGCTCGGAGCTTTTTGCGAAAGCCTGTTGTACTCGCTGGGGCGACGAGAGACACAAGTTTCGAGAGCGAGCGAGCCAAGTTTTACCGGGAAGATCTGGCTGCGTGGTGTTTCCGATGGCGGTCATTGTCAATGGCCACTGACCATGTACCGGTTGTTGCAGGCTGGGCCATCGGAAGCCTGCTAACTGCTGTTTGATTTTGAACAACATTACAATATTTGTTCTCGTCAAGCTGGCTCTTTTCGATGGCGTCGAGAGGGACTGTCGACTTGCCGCGAATGACAGGTCGTTGTTTCATGCCATCATCATCAAATTCTAATCCACTAACAGGGGTAAACGGGTGCGTGGGCGTGTAGCTAGAATACATTGGTTTTGAACACCGCCGCTGTTGATGCATTCCAAGCGCCATCCTTGGGTTCCCACGAGTGACTGCCTGCCGCCCTTTCGTCAGTGCCAGATATCTCCATATCTCCATACATACCATACGCAGCCGTCGGCTTAAACCTGCTGCTGTTTGCATGTACACCACCTATACACACACTCACATGGTTAGGGAAAAGCCAAAGCGGATATTCACTCGTTGGAGAACCTCGCCAGCCCTTCGTTGTTGATATTGCGGAAAATAAAATTAGACGAAATTGGGCCAAGGCAGCAGCAGTTGGTCGACCAAACTTACTTCTGGAACGAATCACGATGTTAACCGACACCTTTCACCACCACCGACACCGCACTATTCGATCCCTCCTGTGCACACCAGCACCGACAACACCAACTGCCCGCACCCTCATACCACCATCACCGTTGTCGACATCGAAGCACCAAAGGCAGCACCTAAAAAGTATAGAATCAGAGGCACGGAAGACTATCGTACAACGTGCAGATAAATTCATATCGGGACATGTTTTTTGGAGACATCTCTCAGCAAGTCACGGTGTGCGCTGCACCAGCGACGACAAAGGCCAACCCAACTGGGGTGTCAATGAAAACAAAAATACGGTGGGATGGAAGCGTATATGTATGGTCGTGTTTCATTGTCGAGGAAGAGAAAAATGAAGCGTTCGATATGCTGTTCTCCTCGTGCGCGCTACAGACAAACGAAGCGCATGCGTTGCACGCTCAACACCTACTACTGCTGCTGCTGCTGCTGTTGTCTGGCCATTGTGTCGGTATTTTGTTCTGCTTGCGCCGGCTACTAAACAAACAAAGCGTGCGTGCACGCTCAACTGTTGCCCCTGCTTCTGCCTGGCCTTTGCGTCGTCATGGGCGGGCGGGGGTGTGTGCAGGCAAGCGCGCCGACGCTAGCTCCTCCTACCGGCAGGGCTACCAGCAGCTGGACAACTACCTCGTGCGCGTCCTGGCGGGGAAGTCAGCGTGGGACCTTCCCCCCGGCCGCGTGGGGAAAAGCGAGCTGCAGGTGGGTAGGCTAAGGCCAGTATGTAGCGTTCGCAGGGTTTTTCGTTCAAGTAAACATGTTGGATAAAGTGTGCAATTGGGTTAGGTCTGCGTACCCATCCCTGTTCTATTTCCTCGTAGATTCTCGCGAAGGCGGTCCGTTAAGGCGGTCCGTTAAGGCGGCTCTCTCTCTCTCTCTTTCTCTCTCTCTGTCTGTCTCTTTCTCTCTCTCTCTCTCTCTTTCTCTCTCTCTCTCTCTCTGTCTGTCTCTGTCTCTGTCTCTGTTTCTCTCTCTCTCTCTCGACCACGGCGTCACTATTGTACAGGCCACTTGTGCCGCCAGAGTGACTTTGCCATCTTCGCGTACCGAAGGTTTCCGTCGACTGTCTTTAGTCCCGCTGCCGCCGACGGTACGAGCACACGTGTGACAGACAACACCCCTCTCTTTCTTGGCACATCCGACACACCCATCACCGTCGCTATTCGTGCAGTCCATGTATCACAAATGTCTCGATGCCCTGCTTCCTCCCCTTCTATTGTCTACCGTTCTGGACGGACATCCGCGCGGCGCCGCCGTCCGTTAGCGCCTTTGCCTGCTAGCTATATCTCCCAGTTGTGCTGCGAAGCAGCCCCCTTCCACTGTATGTAGTAACCGCCAAATTGCTCCTGGTCGTGACTTGCGATGCGGCGGCACAGGCATTCCGGTAAGGGTCCTTCTTTTGGCGCCTGGCTGCTAAACGCCGAACCTGCTGTTCTGTTCTCACACATCCGTTCGCTGCTGCTGCTGCTGCTGCTGCTGCTGCTGCTGTTGATCCCTGCAGGCCGCTCGGATCGCGCTCGGAAAGTTCGAGGTGCTGTTGAGGGCGGACTGCCTTGCCGTGGACCTGCCCCTCCTGCAGCCCTATCTGGCGAAGGCTGTTCCTGCGGCCCAAGTCGCGGACGCCGCTAGGTGCAGCAATTCGTGGAGGCTGTTGTTGTTGTTGTTGCTTCTGTTTTTGTTGTCACTGCTGCTGCTGCTTCTGCTGCTGCTCCTGTGGTTGTAGCTAGCGATGGTGGATGCTGTTGCTGTTGCGCTACCTTGTGATTTTTGCCTTAGAATCTCACGTGCGCTTGCCCGCTCCACCCCCACCCACTGCCTAGACTCCCCCCCCCCACCATGCTTTAACCCTTTCCCGTCTTGAAACGTTTTTGTAGAGAGACGGAGGATCTGCTAGAATCCGGAGAAGCACACTATTTGGTCTTCGGGAAAGAGGGGGGCAAGCTTTTGCGGGACAACCGTTGGGACCTTCAGGTGGGCACCTACCGTACGTTACACAAGATACTACACACCCCGGACCGATTTTTCAATGCTCGATTACTCCACAGCAGAAAAGAGTGGCGGTATCGAAAATGGCGGCGTTGGAACCGTCTCGTGGAGATTTTTTTCCGAAAACGTACCTTTTGGTTTTGGCATCTTTTCTTCGTCGTGGAGAAGCCGAGGTTTTGGAAATCGGCCCAGGGGTTGAGTTATCATACACCATGTGACCAGCAATTAGCACAGCGGCATGAGCGGGCGGGAGCACGCGCCCACGTTCCTCGAACTCTAAGGCCCCTCCCTGACTCGGGGGTGGACTTGCCCTGTTGTTGTTTCCGGCTGCCGCAGCAGCCGGCGTGTTAATTTTGTTTTTCGCTGGGAATTTTGGTTGCACGCGCCGTTGATGGCTTGCAGAGAAACGTTCCAGATGTCTACGGCTGTAGGCTATCAGGGATTGCAGACCCCAGAGTGGCTCCCACGGCCGATACCTCTACCCTGACTCAGCTGTACTTGTTACCAGTGTTTTTTCGTGTCGCAAACTCTCAAAATCTACCCTGGGAGCGCCGCCGATTGGCGACCGCAGCCGGAGGGGGGGGGGGTCGGTACGAATGTACCGGTTGGCGTTTATCTCATGGGGATGGCAAGCGTATAGTAACCGCTCTACCCCCCCTCTTCGTCCCATTACCGTGACATCGTTTGTGATGCACCTACGGATCGCGCTCTCGTCTCGGCTCTGCATCATCGCGCTCTTCGTGCTGCTCGCGTGTGGCAACGTGTGCGGCCTTGGCTTGGCCCTGTTTTGGCTGTGGTCCCCCCCCACAGCTCTGGGATTTCGCGCACAAGCTGGTGGAGTCTAGGAGCACGACAGCCGAGGGCTACCTGTGCGGGTCTTCCGCCTCCGCGAGGCGTCAGGTGAGAGCAGTAGCACCGCACGGAAGAGGAGTATACACACACCGCCGAAATGCGTACAATAAGAAAATCTTGGCGTTTTCTGTGTCCCGCCGGCCGCAGACAGGTAGTTTCGGCAGGCTCCAGAAGCATTACGTCACGATGGCTGCCGGTGCGTCATGCTGCCCACCTGTGTGTGTGTGTGTGTGTGTGTGTGTGTGTGTGTTTTGTTCGTTGCTGCTGCAAATGTGTGATCGTGACGCTGTTCGCCACCACATACACTGCTGCTGCCATTTTTTTTCTAAGCTCGTGTTTTTTTTATTCCTTCTTTTCTTGGTCCTCTCTCCGTGGAAATGTGTGTGATGGGTCGTCGCGGTGGAACGATGGGCCGGGCCGATGGGCCGATGGGATCTGACCGACGCGTGGCCGGTGGTCCGCAGAGGATGCCCGGCGACGGGAGGCGCGCCGTGGTGTACAACTCCCCGTCCTTCCACATCACGGGGGTGGCCATGTTCTCGTGCGTGCTCATGTCGCTTGGCTTCGACGTAACCGCGGTCGTCAAGGTGGGTATGCATCACCTTAACGTTACCGGGTATCTTGTTTTGCTCTTCGAAGTTGTCGGCATGGATTCTATGTCAACGGTCTCTTGTTAGATTTTTCTCTTGATGCGTCTCCTTATCTCGTAGATTTGGCTATTGGTGCTATTCGGATGTAGCTGGGTTTTAAATTCACGGCTGGTTGATCCAAGAGGCAGATGCCATGCCCTCAGGCCAGACCTAGCCCCGAACCTGTTTCCATTCCCGGCTCCCTGCTTGTTCACGCTGTTCGTCTCTCTGCCCCTTTTTTTCTGGCGACATGGTCGAGTTGAACGTTCGTCTACGCTCTCTTCCAGAAAGCTTTGTCCCCTGTACCACACAAGGGTACTGACACCCACACCACAGCTACCACACCCCACACAACACACCGCAAACGGTGACAATACCCTCGTGGCTCAACATGAGCCCGCAACACAAATGTAGTCTCAGATTAAGACATAGGGTTACGCAGAAGACACCAAACTCCCTTACGCACAACACCATATCGGGCGACAGCAGGTCATCTTCAAAACGCCAAAACATGATCATCACCGAATGAGTTTGTATGTTGTGTGCTACACAGCAGTATTAGATTTTGTTTTAATCTCCCTCCGCCCTCCTCCCTAAAAAAAAAAAATTCTCCGGAGAACGCCACTCATTCTCCGCCACCTCCCGGGGCCAACACGGGCGTGTGTGTGACAATTTCATCGCCACCACCACCACTACCCCCCTGAAAATATTTTGTCGCCTGTTGCCCCGCCTTGTTGTTCGTTCGCTGGCCAGGAGCCCGGCGCGGGTTTCGAGCACCTGCTCCCATGCCCGGACAGGGTGGTGGCCCTGAGCGAGCACTACCTGAGGGACTTGCCTGGGGAGATTCTGGACGAGGAAGCGGTGGCGGCGCTGTCCCTGCCCGAGAGCCTGACCGCTGAGCAGGAGGAGGAGCGGCTTCGGCAGCAGGTGTTGCACCTGGAGCGCCTTCGGAAGGAGGAAGAGGAGCTGCGTAAGCAGCAGGAGCTGGAACAGCAGCAGCAGCAGCAGCAGGAGGGAGAGTCGGGGCATGACGCGGCAGACGGAGAAGCGACGAGAAGAAGGAGGGCAACAGCGGGCTTGTCGTTAGAAGGAGGCCCGCGTGAAGGGCGGGATGAGCAGCAAGTCGGGGGAGAGCAAGGGGGATACCCGACAGGGCGGGGGGGACAGAAGAGGCGCGGGGGGGAGGCAGGGAGGCGAAGGGGGCCTGCCTTGGGCGGTGATGGCGATGGTGATCTCGGCGCGTTAGACGTCGGAGTTGAGGAGGGGTCGGATCGGCAGGGGTCCCGTGCCGCGGCTGCCGTAGTGGGGGGAGACAGCTCACGAGGGCTCGGCAGTGAGGAGTTGCGGCGGCGGCGGCGGCGGAAGGAGGAGGACGAGAGGGGCGGGGGGGAAGACGTCCAGGGGACGGGGAGAAGAAGAGAGCTGACCGGTAGCGAAGACGGCGGCGGCCCGCGCGCCGTGGACGGCAGGGGTGGTGCGGGGCAGCGGGAAGGGGGCGACGCAGAAGAGAGGCACGGCAGCAGGGGGTTGGGTGGTGCCGAGCTCAGCGGCAGGGTGTCGGTGGCGGCGGGGGGCGACGGGAGGCAGGTCGAGGGTGGAGAAGGAAGGGGCGGAGGTCGGGGTCGGGGAGGCCCGTTCGATCTGTCGGTGCTGTGCACCGCGGTGAACGACGTGAATCACCTCCTCAAGGCAACGTACCCGGTGGACCCGAGGCTGGCGGACGCCTTGCTGTGGGACGTCGACGTGAGTTTTTGAGGAATCTCGTCTCGAACAAGAAGGGGAATAGGTCCTCCATGGCACATGGCAGTATGTTATGTTCATGTTTGACAAACGAAGACCGCGTTGCAGCGATTCACGAAAGGACAACAGGCAAGAGGACAAAGGCAGCAAAGTTTTTTTTTTTTTGTCGACCCACTAAATAGTAGACCATGGGCATCGACCGGGAACCTGCGATACTCGTGTAGCCGGGCCACCGGGGTCTTTCCGACAAATCTGCAAGTGCGTGCATCGGTTCACCTTGCACGCCATTGCCTCTACAAGTTTATTCTCGTTTGCCGTGTCGTTGCATTCGGCACTCCTTGCTTGACGCGCGTTTTTCACGAGCTCACACCCCAACTACCACCCGCGCGGCGTTCACTCCCGTCAAATCGTCGCTTTTTCTCAACACACCTTACCGTACCACCACTACGACAAAGGTCTCCATCTGGAACGTGCACAGCGTGGAGGGGGCTTTCCGCTCCGACCACAGGATGCCCCCCGCCGTGGACGACTTCGCGAGGGGGGTTCCGTCGTCTTCGGAGAGGGGCGGCGGCGGCAGGACCCCCCCCCTCACTTTCCTGACTCTCTACGGGGAGCACGTGGAACAGTTGAGCCGTGTGTGTTCGTGTGTGTGTGTGTGTTTGGTTGACATCGGCCTCGCTGCTATTTAATCGGCTGACCAATCAAAAAGACGCCCGTGTCTCATTACAGAGCGGGATAAAAAACGCGAACAAACTTTCTCATAGTGTTCGTGTGTGTGGTTTCGTCCCATTATGGCGCTTGTAGATATCCTACACCTTACGGTAGTAGACAACTCACACCTTACTGCAGTAGATAACCAACACCTTGCCGTGGTACACGGTACCCCGGCCGGAGCACCGCACGTGCCTCCTTCGGTTCACTGTTTTTTTCAGCCTCGTGCTTCTTGTCGGCGCCTGTACCGTTTAGTGTTGGCTTGTTGTTCCGGTAGCTCTGGCACCTCCCTCTTTTTCTTTTTTCGTCTTTGCGGGATCGTGAGGTATGGTAGGAAGGTAAAGGTTATGTGGGTGCGAGCTCCTCTGGAGGGTAGCCAATAGATTGTTCTCGGTCGTTTGAGGGATAAGATGTCCAGGTAGAATTTAGAATTTGTTATCCACAGCAGTAGGGAGTGTTATGACGACAACGACAACAACAGCATCACCATCATCATCAACAACAACAACAACAGCCACGGCAGCAACCACAACACCAAAAAATCATCAACCAACCATCGTATCTACCCATCTATCAAGGTGGGAACGCTGGTCGGAGGAGGCGTACGAGGGGTGGGGATGGGACGCCGACCACCACCCCCACCCCCACGGCACCTCCTCCTCCTCCGACGCCGAAACAGCAACGGAGGAGGGCCAGGGAGCGGAAGGAGGAGCTCAACAGGAGGAGGAGGAGGAGGAGGAGGAGGAGGCGGGGTACCTCGACGACATGGAGAGGGGGAATTCGACGTTCGGGGCACTGTTTCGCCGACCGGGGGTAGTGTACCCCATACACCCAACGGGGCACCTGAGGCTGCCGCGGCCCAAGCGGCCGTTTGCTGGCCGACAGCAGCGGCGGCACCTCAGCGAAAGAAGAGAGGAGGAGGAGGAGGAGGAGGAGGAGGAGGAGGAGGAGGACGACGGAGAGGAAGAAGGTGTATGACGACGTGGTTGCGT